TTGAATTTGTTCACATATTCTGTGGCTTTTGTAACCATGTCAGTCCCTGGCATCTTCTGATATCAACCCCTGAGTTCTGAGGAACATACAAAACTCACAAAACCCAGCAGAAAAGAATTCAGAGTAGGGTCATGATTTCAAAAATATCTAGATTTTTTTACTTCAAATTATACATAATCCCTCTGAGGGCCACTGTCTGTTCATGAATACTACAGCATGTGAGCTGCCAGTCTGAGGCAAGTTTGGGTCCCTGTGACAGCTGATGTCCCTCTATCTCAGCCTCCCTGACAAGTAAGATATTTTGTATTGCCTTTGTGTCAGCTGCAGAACAAATAAGTAAAACAATGCTGTGGAGAAAACATTTCACTTAAAAAGACACAGAAAATAACTTCTCTGAAGGGCTGATTGCAGTGTTGACAATGTCACAGCTTCTTATTTTCTCTTCAGCCATTATTGATAACACTTGTGCTGACGTGGCTATCACATGTGTCTGCAATAATACTCCATAAATATTATCAGGATAGCATTCAAAGGCCAGTTTCCCATCTTAGTGTTTCTTGGCTTGTAAAGAATTGATAAGTCCTTGCCTTGCTAAATATCATTTGGAGAATAATCAGTTTGGGCCCCTACTGACATTGTGTGTCCTGCAATGAGTCAGTAGCTGCTCAGTGGCTTGTCCTCCTATCCTGAACTAAAGACATAATCCAGGTTTCCTTCTCAGGAGTTTGCAGAAAAGGTTGTTGCAAAGCAACAAGAGTTTCCTGGGCAGGAAGCTCTATAGGAACATGGCGTGCTTCCAGTGGCAGGAGAGCTGGAAGGAAACCAGCCCGCTTCTTTTCAGTGTTTTTGGTGAAAACGAAATGTGCACATCAGGCACACCATTATGTGTCAAAAGAGGACTGTCAGAATAGGGACATGTTATGTCTAACATAAATTCAGGTTAGCCTCATCTTCAAGGTATGAAATTACATCACAGCCAAACAATTAACATTTTTTCATTGGTGGCTTAATTGCCCCAGCTCTGTATGGAATGGCTCTCTGTGAGCTGGAAAGGACTTGGTGAAGTGCACCAGAATCTTGTGGGTGACAACTGCTGTACAAACATGTGGGTTTTTCTCATCTTCTTTCTTTCTTCTTTTTTATCAGTTGCTAAGAAAAACTCTCCAGGGTACGCTTAAAGCACTGTTCTTCAGTTTTGCATAGACAGAATGAGAACTTACAGAGAACTCCCACCACACTCGTGAATTCGAGCACATGAATGCATTGCAATTATGCTGTTCACAAATCTCCATCTGAAATCACCACTCCAAAGTGGCCTAAATTTTATAATTCCATAGCACACAAATGTCTGACTAGTTGATTAGGATAAAAAGATTACAAAAAATTTAAAAAAAATTTTACAAAACCATATAATGGTATTACAAACAAGACTGCAAAAAACTAAGTGTTTGTAAGAAGTAAAAAACACATTTGGAACAAATATAGCAATGGTAATTTGTAACTAATATTAAGAGTAGAAGACAATAACAACAAATAAGAAATATGTGATATAGTCTAAAATTATTGTAATTACTGGTTATCGTGCTTGCTTCAAGTATGGATACAGAAAAATTAAAGAACTGAGAGGCTACAGATCTGGCAAATGAAATCAGACATCAAAAATTTGGCACAGAATTGATCCTTATAGTCTAAAGATTCTTGGGGAAATCTGTTTTTTGTGGATTCTGGGCCGTATTGTTGATACAGTGTCTGGAAAATGAGAGCAGGGTGCCAGTGTTTAGTACTGAAATATATGCTAGAGACTTTGGACCATCCTGAACCTTAGACTGTGGATCTCTGGATCGGGGGTGTCATTATGGGTGCACACAAATGGCATAATGTCAGGATCTGAACTGAACCCCTGGGAGTTACCCCAGCACAGATTACTGCAATAATGATACAACAAGATTTATTGCTTATTTCCTGATCTGTTTCTTGCTGTGCAATGACTCCTTTTTCTTCCTCTCTCTTCTTGCTTCACACCCAACAAAAAAGCCAACTCTGAGCAGAACTGTGTTGCTCTGAGGTTTAGTGGAGGAGATGCTGGGAAGCATAAAGGAAGGAGGAATTTTTCTCTTTCCACTTACCAAAGGAGAAGAAGAGCTACTTGAGAGTTCTTCTGTCTCACATGATGAAGCGAAAAATTGCCAACAGAGTGAATTTCTTTCTACTGAACAAAAAGTTTCTCCTATAACAAGGAACACTACTATTTTTGTTTCTTGGTGTGATGATGACACAAAATCTCCCAGACCATCCCTCTGGGTAGGTGTGTACTGCCACAAGAACTCCCTTCACACACACACGGCAGAGAAGAGTTGTTACCAATGGCTGAACAAAAGGTCAGCAAGCTGCAAACCTGCTTTTATTACAGTATAGCACATAAACAGAACCACTAGAACGATTCTCTTTATCTACAAAATCATGTGGCTTCTTTACCCAACAGCATCTTTTGTCCAGGATTAATCCAAATGACACTTAATAACACATGATGTGGTGCCAGTGTTTAATCTTAGTTCAAAACCAGCCCTCCAGTGGTGATCTTTTCACAGCTGCAGGAACCATCCTGCAGAGAATGCTTTCATCATTTACAGCCACGTATTCAAATGCCTATTTAATTAATTAGGGTTGGCTCCTTCTGAAGTATATTGCTTTATTAATAGTTGTATGCTTAGATCAATACAAACAAATGAAAAGGAAAGCAGACAGTGGTTTAGGAGCTGTGAAGCTGAGATAAACTCCTTGATTTCTTAGAAAACCCACTGATCCTGGAGAGATCAACAGGTTCTTCCATATTTCCAAGTATTCTGCTATGATCACATATCTATCACTCTTTCTTTATGACCTCAGAGGCTTTGAAGAAAGTTTTCCTCCAGAAGAACATAAAATTTAGCCTTTGTAACATCAGGTAAAAAGAAAGAGCAGGAAGATATTGGCCTTTTGGTAATACCCCCATAATATCAGAGCAAGATGGTTATAAGCCAAGATTTGCAGGACAATTTTCACCTCTAAAGATTTTGATTATGTCTCCCGAACAGAATCTTGAGGTTGAGCATAGCCTGCTATTCATGGAGTGTATACTCTGCTACAAACTGCATTAACTACATATAATTTGTAATACTCTGCAATGAGACTGGCTGACCTTTTTTTGGATGCTTTGCCACTTTGGAGGGAAAAGAGTCATATAGGCAAGGGCCTTAGCTATCTAAATGCATCTGTCATCAATATTTGTGTAAAAAAAACCTGTTCAGAGACAGCCTGAAAACACAAGAGCCTTCCTTAATTTGGCTTTGCCTTTTCAACCAGTGGTGCAAAATTGGATGACATTTCATAAACCTATCTTACACACTTCACAGCTTTTATGAAAATGGTTTCCTTTATAGTATTTAAGCTCTGAAAGTCTGTGAGTTCTCGAGTGCTACAAAAAAAACTCCCCACAACATGCACTTTATATGTGGCTTTAATTATCCACAGTGAGCATCACTCTACTGGGGATGTTCTCTGGTGTCTGTTTGCTGTGTTGATTGGAAGTTTCTGGGAGGATCACTGACAGTCATTAGTCCTGCTGGAAGAAAACTGCTCTAGTGCTTGGGCTGAGGATCTGAACAAGGCATTCTGTGGCAGTGAGCATTACAGGGCTTAAAATATCACTCAATTCTCCAGTGCCTTGACCCACCTGTAATTGCCTACTCCAGAACACACGGATTCCAAATTGTTTTATTACTAGTGTTAACACTCCACAGAGGTAGCATTTACTGACCTTTCCCATGTGAAACAAATGCTCAGAAGAGTACCTAGCAAAAAATCAGGCAAAGAGTGTTCCTCTAAGAGCTTCACCTTTTTGAACTGCCAAAAAGTAATACCTGTTAACAGAAAAAATTACTCTGATTTTGCCACTGCTGTTTGTTTTTTTTCCAGGCTGCACCAGAGCCACACCAGTGTGCAGTTTTCATACACTGCCATCTGTTGTTACAGGGTGCCTGTGTCACTGCTGTGCTGTGCAGCTCGGGTTTCTGTTCCAGCAGCAAACATCCTTCCCAAGAACTCTGTTAAATTGGAAGAACTGCTTTAATTCATGCATGCAGTGAGATTCCAACAACTCTGCTTTCACTTGTGGCCACAGCCAAAGTAATGTTGCTTTTAATCCCACTTCACTTATTTCAACAGTGAAGTTTGTATCTTTATTTAGTCTAGAGCCAGAGGATTTAGGTTCGGAGTAGTAAATTTACAGCAAAAACATATACACCACAACTGTCACATATGTTTACACACACCAAAATTACAAAGGATCCTGTCAGTGCACAAATACATTTACAAACACTGCCCTGCTTATTTAAACAGCTGTTTCAGAATCTGCATGTTTAGCTACAGTTTGCATATATATAGGTTATGGATTTGAGTCCAGGATGAGTTAGCACCTTGTTCCCTAAATCTCAACTAGAAAAAATAGAACATAATGTTCCAGAAGCTAGCAGGAAGGTGAAACGATTTGTGTGTGATCAAGTAAGGGGCAATCATGTGTTGGGAGAGCAGCCTGCAGCACTCAGACACATATGACAGGCAGATACAGAGTCACAAACCAGTTGGCAACTGGAGGAATTAAGGGAGTGAGGAACTGGCCTAGACCTACGGAATTACAGATGAATATCCATGCCTTAGATATCTGCACAAGGGTGCAGCTATCAAAGTCCTGAAAATGCTTGTGAGAGATGGAACAGTTCAGACTGCCCAAGCTGGGATTACCTGCAGTTGTGGTTTTTGTGTGTGTTAGAACTGGTCAGAGCACAAGCCTGGATATTGAAGCATTGGACACAAAATAGATCCTTTGTGCTTGAAACCATGAGGGAAAACTCCCAAAAGACCACAAGTTTTTGGCTTCCTTAATAAGAAGGGAAGGATCTAAGCAAAACCCACTCAAGAACTTGTGTGTTCAAAAACATAGAAATGCACAGCAGAGATAATAATTTCTTGTATCCGCAAAAATATAATTTTATTTGCACATCCAAATACAGGATATTTATTTAAATGAAAACTGTACGCTCACAATTTAAATAACAAGTTCACTTGCCATTTAAAAACCAGTCTTAATATCTGCAACTGCCAGTTTTACTCCCCAAATGTTAGGGAACTTGCAGCTTCTTTCTGTTCTTTATGCAACTGTTTTGCCCTGTTTTTCAGATCCTCTGCCTTGGCATCATTCTTCTCAACGCCATCTCCCAGTTTGTACATGCGGCTGGCGTTGGCACAAGCCCACACGTGCCCCAGCTCACAGCCTTTCAGTGAGTACTTCAAGGCATGGCTCATGTCCTTGGGGACCCCAGGTGCTCCCTGCAGGTATATCACACTCAGGTTGAAGCAGCTGGGAGCAAAATTGCTATCACAGGCTTTTGTGTAATAGTCTCTAGCAGCAACAGGGTCAGGCTGATCATTGTTGGCTCTCCCGTCCTGGGCCAGCAGCCCAGCGCTGTGACATGCATTTGGTGACTTCTTCCCACCTTTCTCACATGACTTGATGAAAGATTTGTAGGCAGCTTTCAAATCTGGGTTGAGTCCACCTGTCAGTCAAGACATTACTGTGAGGACATGTTAAAACAGCTGGGAGCTTTCTGCTTGGCAGAATGCTTCCCACCGGAAATACAGCATCCACCACTTTAGATATTACAGTCAACATTTAGGACCTCAGAGACATTACTGTTGTCTCAGTGACAAACATCTTTGACTTAGAAAACTCTCCTCCACTCACCAGTAATCAACAGCACTGGTAACCAAAAAATAACCCAGACCCACAAAACACTCTTTCCACTACTACATCCACGGATTTAATATCTTAACACTAGCAAGTATTATTTTGCCAGTATACTTACACCAAGACTGTTACTAGTTTTGAACTACAGTAATAATATTGTTCCTTACTAGTACTTTCATTTGGAAGATCTCTGACTAATTTATTTTCCATTACTGTGCCAGCAAATTTATTTTGAACAGACTTGGGGACTACTAAGGTATGCATGTTACTAGTCTGTGAGTTTCCTTCTTTGTTACTTTCTTTCTTCTGTCTGACAAGAAGAAATACTGTGAACTGAATATGCAGCAACGCTGAGCACTGGTTGTACGTACCTGTTAAACAGTTGTAATTATAAAAAAATAATACACAGTTAACATACAGCTGATTTTTCAGAAGGAAGCAATTTCAGGTTTTCCATCCTCCCCCAACTTTTATGAGGTGACCATGAAAGGGGCGGGACAGGTAGTTGCTCTGCTCCCTCAAGGTCAGGAGGACAGGCAGATGTGAGGGTGGCCAGCACTCGGAACAGGTTGCCCGGGGAGGCGGCGGAGCCACCTGCGGCCCGAGCGCCAGAACCCCCCTGCCCACCTTTGCCGAGGGCCTGGTAGGCGCCCAGTTTGTAGCAGCTCTCGCTGTGCCCGTGCACCTCGCAGTTGTCGCGCAGCACCCGCGCCGCCGCCACGAAGTCCTTCTTCACGGCGTCCAGGTAATCGGCGAAGCGCTGGCAGCCTGCAAGGCACGGGGCACGGGCTGAGCCTCCCGCCGGCCCCGCGGCGGCGGGCGGGGGGCGGCGGCGGGGCCTTACCGTCCGGGTCCTTCTCCTTGAAGCACTGGTAGCTGTACTCCACGTGCAGGTTCTCCAGGTACGCCCGCACCTCCTCCTCGTCCGCGAAGTCGATGAAGCCGGCCATGGCCGCGCTGGGTCACGGCGCGATCGCAGCGGCGCCTCCCGGGAGCGCCGAGCGCTCGATTCGGTACCGCCCCTTCCCTCCCCCGGCCGCACTCGTCTCCGCCTCCGACCGCCCGCACCGGCTCCGCCTCCGGCCCCTGCGGCCACTCCTCCGGTCACTCCCCCCGTCTCTTCCCCAGCTTCTCTTCGCTCACCTTCCCTCAGCTCCTCTCGTTACGGTTCCTCCTGTGTGCTCCCGCGGTCATCGGGAACTCTGACGGTTCAGCAGTTTTAAGCGATAACACATTGTTAGAACTTTACTTTCAGAGTTTTGCGCTACCGGATGCGTATTCCCAAGGTCTGATTCAGCACAACCCATAGACTGAGACATGGCAGTACATTAATTGCGCTCTGCATGGCCTAGAAGCCCGGCTGCTTTCCTATTCCTCAGCCTGCCTCCTGTATGCTTTTGTCTGGAGTAACAGCTCAATAATTTCCAAATCCGTTTTAGAACAGAGGTGCTGCTGTGAGAGTCGCTCCCAGCCACCACTCCTTTCTGTGGTACCATAAAAGCTCTCACAGGTGCTTTTTGAAGTACTGGAACCTGCACTGAGCAGGCAGTGCTGGGGCACTGGGAACACCCAGAAACGGGTAAGCACTTAACACACAATGAACCCTGCTTCTCCTGGATCTGAGAATCACAGAATAGTTTGGGTGGGGACACCATGGGGAGGGAAGGGACATTAAATACCATCTCAATCCATCCCCCTGCCATGGGCAGGGATACCTTCCATTATCCCAGGTTGCTCAAAGCCCCATCCAGCCTGGCCTCGAACACTTCCAGGGATGGGCACCCACAACATTATGGATTAATTTAACCCAAATGTGATAATAGAATACTTACAGAAAACATGGCACACTATCCAATTCCAGCAATTCTGAGCACAAACTGAATTTTCTGTGAGTAAAGTAGCACATTAGAAATCTGTGTGATGAATTGCTTAAAATCAATCTGAGTTTGAGCTAAAATAAATTTCAAAGAATATTTGCAATATTTGCAAATGCTTTGTCCCAAATTATTTAAGTAGAATAACACCAGCTTGTCAAGTTTCTGGAATAAATACACCTCAGTTAAATCCTCTGCAGAGTCTCCCATAGAAAGAAGCCTTATCCTTTATTAAGGGCTAGAGCTAATTTTGACCAACCACCATCACCAGCTGGACTGGCAGCAAACCCTGCCAGGTGCGTAGTTGAAACACCAGTTACACTTTCTAAAGTATTTCCTTAAAACTTTTCAGATTTAAAAATTTGGTTTGATGTTAAAACATATTTTCCATGTGCAGCTAAAGTCTTGTTTTCAACACATATTGACCAAAACCCACTGCCATGTGTGTGAGACTGCAGGAAGAAGATACACACTGCTTGGCCAATGCTGGCTGCAGTCTGAGAATGTTTGGGTCAATCTCCATTCTGGATAGGGCCTTTAGAAGATGAACTGCTTTTGTACCAGCAGTACTGTTTCTCTGGAAATCCAGCTTTGAAAACATTTCAGTTTGCATAGGCTCAGTAGCAATTCCTTGAGTTCATTAGTTTAAGTCCTTGAAGGGTCTGCTCTTGCTGGGATTTTGTCTTTGCAGTTTCTGATGCCGATGTTGAGCTGTGCCAACTCAACCATATGGCTGCTCCATACCAGGAGTGGATTCCTGAGTACAGGGAGGCAGGCTAAGAACAGGCACTGGGAGCAGGGGGTCAGGCTGTCACTGAAAGTTTCCACTGCCTGAACCCAGTTCCTATCATAAATTCGGAAAACAAGACATCTGGTGATAGGTCAGAGTGAATCAGTGAATTTAAGAGCCATTGAATGGACAGTCTGGAATCTTGCAAAGATATTATGAAGTGCAAGAAACAGGTAATGGACTAAGATTAATAGTATGAGCTGCTTCCTTATCTAAGCTAATATCTGTGTCCATAATTATATAAGTTGTTTCTTCTAAGCAGATTAGGTTTTTAAGTGGTTAAATTCAGAACTTGAAGATTCTTAACTCTGTGCTGTCAGATCCTGAGCATGTAATTTATTTTCTCTACATTAGCAGTCTAATCTAAAGAATTGGAACTATAACTGACCTTTGTTATGCAGTCCTTAAACTGGTAAAACTGTGTTTCATAGTATTTATGGACTCTTTTGCCGTCTTGTAAAGACAGAAACATAAATAATTTTAGCAATTGTTCCTTAATATTTATTTATGTGTCTTGCTGGTTTGCAAACAACAGCTATCCAAAGCTTCTGCATGTAGAATCAGCAATTCTTTTACATAAATTCTGTATTCTAATTCACTTTATTTGGATAGGGTACTTGTATCACTCTTTACTTTGTATCCTGAAACAAGAAATAACTGTATTCTCCTGACCAACAGTACATTGTATGTATTGGTTGTAAGACAGGCTTTCTTCACTACTACTGTTATGTGAAACCTGAAATTACTTTGTACGGAATGGTTTTTGCTTACAGCAAAGCTCCCCTCCAAAGCAGGAGGCAGAACCTCTTCTCTGGTGTAGGTTATTATTCATATTACCAGAATAAACCAGTTTGTGCAGGAAACACTTAAATTGCCGAGGCTTGAGAGCACGAAGCGTGAAGCTGACGCCAGTTCATGGCCGCGGGAGGGCCACAGAGCTGCGGCTCACCCGCTCCAGCCGGGCGCTGACGGGCGCCTCAGAGTTCTCGGGTCCCGGCTCCACTACCGGAGCAACCATGCCGAAGAAAAGGTCCCACACACTCGTAGCAAGAGAGGCCGATGCTCTTTGCTGCGCAATGGCCCCTTCTCCCCACACTTCGAGCCTTAAACGCGAGTGTTGAGGCTCCGCTCCCCGAGCACGGCACGAACCTGTGCTGGCGCAGCCCCTTTAAGGGAGGCGGGTTCCCCGGCCGGCTGAGTCAACATTCACTTCCAGGTCGGAGGGGTAAATACGGGGGAAGGGAGGGAGGGAAAGAAAAAAAAACGAAAAGAGAAGGAGCCCAGCGACGGGACCGGCTGGCGGGGCGCTCGCCGGCGGCACCCAGCGCCGCGATGGTGAGGGGATGGCGGTGGCGGGCAGGGACGGGGGGAAGGAGGGAGGCGGGAAGGGAAGGGGAGCTGTTCTCCTGCAGTCCCGGGGTGCCGGACCCGGCGCAGGTAGCGGAGGTGACCCCGGGGAAGGGGCCGCCATGGCGGCGGCGCAAACCCGGCTGAGGGGTTCAGGCCGAGCCCACTCCTCTCCCTCCCGCCGGTACCGCGGCCGGGCCGGGGCAGCCCCGCCGTTCGTTGTGTAACCGCGGCGCTGCCGCCCGTTATGTAAAAGGGCGCTCGGGACCCGGCGGACGGCAGGGAGGGAGGCTCGATCCCGGCTCGGTGTGTCCGGGTGTCCCCAGGGCGCCGGGAGGGCGATGACGGCCGGGCTAGACCCGCCGCCCTGACCGGCCCCTCACAGCTCCGTGCGCGGCCGAGCACCCGCAGCCGCCCGGGCAGAGCCTCTCGGCCGGCCGGCGTGAGGGCACAGCCCGGCTCTGCACAGCCCAGCCGCCTGTGCCTCCTCCGGCCCCTGCCTCCACCAGCCCCACAGCAGCACCTTCCCACTGGGAATTGCTTTGTTCAGGGTCTGTCCGGAGGAAGCCGTGCCAAGGCACGGTGCGTGGGCCTCCCTGAGCTCTTGGAGCGCGGAGCTGCCAAAGGAGCAGCCTTTCCCTGCTCCACACAGGCCGGAGCAGAACATATGGGAGCTGTTTGGATTGCTCCTCTGCTCCAGACATGAGTGTGCATATTTGCTTTTCAAGGACTAGCAGGAGCTTCCTGAGCAATCTAGTCTCATCCCTTGTCATTAAAAGCCTAATTTCAGTCAATCCCCTAATAAAGTTATGTGTCATTGTTATTGAAGTAGGTACATTTTGTGCCTGCTCTTCTAATCAGTAAACTAGGGTAGAATTTCATTGCTTAACTATATACTGGTGTCTAAATTTATGGCAAAACTTCCAGTTCATGGCATTTCTGCATACCTTTGTTGCTGTGCTGGCAGTGTGCTTCTCTATAATGGCTTTTTTTCCCTGTCTATAGTTTATATATATTGTGCTGTATTTATTTATAGGTGGCATTTGTATCTCTCACCTTTTGATCTTCGAGGCTAAAAAAAGCTGGGTTTATGTCCTATTCCCAATGTGCTTTTCATCCCCAGAGTATTCTAGTAGCTGTTACCTTTAAACTGAAATGCAGTTTCAGTGCAGGTATATCTTAACATAAATAGCCCTATGAGATCTCCTGAGTGTCCTGAAAGTGACTTAGTCCTTCCTTCTTTGGCTGCTTCACCCTGTTTTTTTGCGGCTCAGCACACCACTCTGGTTCCACTCTCTATAATTTCTAATTGGTGAACTCGTATCTGAAGTTCTTGATATTAATCTTGAAATATGTGGCCTACTATGTCGTTCTAATGGGGCACTATTTAATTTTAGACCTCTTGTGATCACTGCTGACTTTGTATCAGTAGCAGCTTTAATCTCTATGTTCCCACCTTCCCACCTCTTGTGCCAGAATAGTTAACATTAAATTGGAGTTTTTGAGCATAATCCTTCCTTGAGTCTGGCTAATAAATCACCTACTTCTGTTTAATTCCATTTAACTTAATTTAAATAGGATAATTATAAAGCTTTCTTAGTAGCATAAATCATGAAACTGTTTCTTTTTCTCTGCCTTTCCTCTATTAGCACTCAGAAGAATTTTGATGGCTGGTGCTTGAGTTGCTATTTCTTAATTGTTTTAAGAATGTTCATTTTAAGAAAGTAAGTAAAGCTTTGGGGCTGTGGAGAGGTGGAAAACAGCTGGAAAACATGGTACATCCAACACCGTAACTGAGGCTCTAAATTACCTCTTATTTTCCTGTTAATGTTTTGAGAGAAATGACCACCACAAATTGAAAAGTCCTTAACCCTGTACCCATCTCATCCTTTGAGACTTGAGAGAGGGAAAAGCAGGTGGGCCTGGCTTACAGAGACTTGGCATCTTTGGGGCTTGTCATACTGGGTCTGCAGTTGGGTGTAAAATTTCATCTCTAACAGAGCACATCACAGACGTGGCTCTGTTAGAGATGAAATTGGTATTTGTCTTCCAGTGTTACATACTGATTTATTGAGGGGGAGCAAGAACCAGCCAAAACAAAACACTACTGATGGCAAAAAGATTTGATTTTTAATGAGTCTGGGAGACAGAGCCTGAGTGAGAAAGGCCCACACAACAGTGGATTTTTTTTCTTTTTTCTTTTTTTTTTTTTGCTGGGCTAGGTTGTAATGACTGAGAGAAAACAGCAGTTATACCTGTTTCTTATTTTTCTTTAGTTATTGTTACATAAGCCTGGTGATGCTTCCCCAAAGGAACAGGATTTTATTTTGATACCCACACTCAGCCACTATAAACTGGATTTATAATGTTTGCCTTAAGATTCTTTAACTTATTCCCAGTGCTTTAATGTGCCCCCTTAAGTTCTTTTTGCTTTTTAACTGCACTTTGAAATATGTGTTGAGTATATTCTAGTGGTATTTAAAGCTGATTCATGGAATTCTCAAAAGAAAATGTGGAGGATAATGTTCTTTGGGAGAACCTTTCCAACTGGCGTGAGCTCGAAGCTGAGCTGGTAACATCAAGTTGAAGCTGGTTTTGCATTTCAGTTCACCTCTGGATTGGATTACTGTTAGAGGCCACTAGCCAGGCAGTTTACCCCATCCCCCTGCACACTTTTGGTTTGCCTTGATTATATTTCTCACTTTAAAACTTTTTTTTTTTTTTTTAAATAATTAATTTAAATAAGCCTTTAAAAGCCCATCTAAATGCAATTATTCAACTTCTTATGCTATTCCACAAGCTAGCCGGGTTTTAGATGTGTCACATTACTCTCATAATATATGTTTTAGTTAATGAAGGCACCCCAGCTTGCATCATATAATTCATAATTCTGTGGTTTGGGGAATTAATTTTTATATTTGTTTCCTGGCTACTCAATTAATTTGATATAATGAAAGAAACTGTGAGGGTAATTGAAGTATCAGATAATTAAGATGACTATGAAAAAGTAAAATAGCATAATGGAAGTTCTCTCAAAAACTGCTGGGTGATGTTTATTAAATAATAAAAAAAATTAAAGTGCTCTGCTATGGTTGACATACATTTATAGTGTCTCATTAGACAGAAAGTGATCAGAAAACAAATGGCAGGTTTGTCTTCAACCTGACATTCAAAAGCAGAGCTAGAGAAATGAACCACTTAAATTCTGACCTTGTAAGAGCTTAAATACAACTTTAACTGGGCAATATTGTCTTGGAGTGTAGAGGAGTGAGAAAAGGGATGCCTCCAGCTCACAATAAAGGCTTCTAGACTGCATTTAAGTTTTCTATTTCAGTAGCAGGCAGTCCAGGAAATTATTTTTAGGATGCTTGTCAGAGGACTTTATTAGACACAGATAAAAACATTTTGCCTGTCTGCCCAGGTTACCTCAGGAGCCTTTGTCAGGGGTGTTTCCTCAGCCTTTTGTCAGCAACTTGAAGAAATATTACAAATGGCTCCTATAATGGGAATGAGTGGAGTTAATAAAACCAGAACTTTATTGTTTGCAAGTGTAGTTCATCCCTGCTTGTGCTTTTTGTTCCTTGATTGTATGGAGATGCCCTGCATGAACTTCCAGAGGGATTATGTAAAAATTAAACTTGCATTTCCAGAGGACAGATTGGCCACTCAGAGGTACTGGTTGGAAAAATAGTTTTCTGAGTCATATGCCAGTGGCCTATCTACAGGGCTAAAAATTCTCATTGGAGTTTGTTCACTGATACATCAAAGTGTTTCAGCTTTTCTGGCAGACAGGAAGGAACAGTTCCAGGAGGAATGAAGAGAGACAGTATTCCGATTTTGTCATCTTTGAGCATCAAATTAGAAACACAAAATCTAATGGATGTGGATGTCTTTGCTTCAGTGGGAATGATTTTTATACACCTTTGAGTAAAGATTCTGATTTTTCTTTGATTCATCAGCTGTCATAGAAACCTTGGGTATATGTATTGATTTCAAGTTTGACAGGAAATTTTCCCATCTCATATAAAAACATGTATTATGTTAAAATAGTCAAGCGTGATTACACACTACAAAGAAACAAGAAGAAACAAAACAAATTCACAATTCCAAATTCTGTCCTTTGTTTTCTTATCATTTTATGATTGGGGGCAGCCAAAATTGCCGTTTCCTGGTATGGGAGCAAGTTGCATCACAAAGTAACTTTTTTTTTTGGTAACAATACAATGTAATAATAAAGCTTAAAAATAATGAAACTTAAGCACTTAGCAAAACTGAGTTAAAGGAATAAAAGTTGCATGTCAAAAGCTGCAGAAAGAACTTGCACTTGAATAATTTGGTGATTTTATTTCCCAAGCCTGTACTTAAGTCTTCAGGATCTATTAAACTGCAGTCTCTAATTGTTGTTAATACATGATTCATTAAAGATAGACTCCATTCCATCTTTGCCCTAATGTGGTACCTCCCAGTCCTCAAATATGTGAACGTTATTTTAGAAGACTTATCTCTGTAACCTTATTTATATTTCTTCTCTATACCCTTTAACATATTTCAGTACTCCTGTGATCAGCGTGTTAGGCAAGCGAAGCAACAGAAGTTAAATGAGCTGAGAAAGAAAGGTGAAATTATCCAGAACTTTCTGTATAAAAGGGAAGCTACTATTTTTCCTGCAGATGAGATCTGACAACAGTTGATGCTGTTATTTTCAATATTGTCTGGGGGAGTATGTACCAGTCACTCGGCCTTCTTTTGTGTGGTGCTGGGGATGATTCACAGTGCTGGGAGTCATTCTTTATGTTGGTTAATCTGTGTGCCTGCAAACAGTGGGTTATTATTAGACATGGAATAAAAAAACCCTTTGAGATTTTCATGTATCAGTGTACAACCTCAAACTCTGAGGCAAAAGATCAAGTTTATATTCTGCCTTGTCTTTTGTACCCAGACTTCTGCTATAGATGATTTCCAGGTGCAGAGTGCCTGGAAGGAGCAAAAGGATTACTGTAATAGATGTTAGTTTATTGCTGCACAGGATTTGGAATTAAACCAGTTCTTTTTTTGTTTCACTTTTTGATGTGAAGCTCTAGCTGCCCTTTTCAGTATCAAAAATTGCTCCTATATATGCAATTTATCTGTAGGATCTGCATTTCTTATGTAGGTTGGTAATAGACTTCTAATATGCATTGACTTAAATGAAAGATTAAAACCAATATTTTAAATCCAGAAGTATAATTTGATTTTTAAATCTTCTTTCAGTCTCTCTTGATTGATTAGTTCCCAGTAGACTTTATAAATTAAAATTATTTTTCAGCAATTGCATTTCTTCCTCTGGGAACACAAGTAGGGTTGAAAGCACAGCAGACGTGACTGGATGTGGTTCTAGGGGTGACTGGGGAGGGAGGCTCCCGTCGGTTTGGCCAGTTGTTCATTGTGTGACCTGACTTTGTGGGGCTCTGAGAGAGACATCTCCTCCTGTAATATTTGCCAGACTAACAAAAAAGACATTACAGAGTAATGGAAGGTTCATAGAAAGAATGACTTGACTAATCTCCTTTGTTTCATTGTGTTTTACATATGACAGGAGGAAGCTTCTCCATATTCTTTACTTGATATCTGTTTGAATTTCCTGACTGCCAACCTAGAGAAGTTCTGCACAGAAAGGCAAGATGGAACATTTTGCTTGCAGGAGCCAGGAATGTTCCCTCAAGAGGTGGCTGATCGACTGCTGCAGACGATGGCATTTCATGGTAAAGACAATCATTTGTGGGTCAGTGGTGAACTTATTTCCCTGGAATGTGACATTGCAGTTCTGCTATATTTTCTAGTAGAATCTGCTGCTGCAGCTGTTAAACTGTGTTCTGTAATCCCTTAATAGAGAATTTTTGTTATTTTTGCTTTACACAGTTTCAGCTGAGCTTTGCATTGCCACATAGTTCTAAATAGGAAGTTCTTAGTCTTGGTTTATGAATTTACTGTCCATTTATTTGAACATTCTTCAATCTTCTTTCAATGATTTGAGAAAAAAAAAATTCTACTACTTCTAGCACGCATTTAATTGATTTTTTTACTGTGTGCTCCTGTGATTAAGTTAAAAAGTAACCTTTTGATTCATTAAAACAGTTTCTCATCTCTTTTAACACTTTTATTGACATGGAATTATTTGTTTCAAAGCCCTCAGTTTTAGAGTGGTATAAACGGCTTATGGTAGTCCTACATTTTGTGTTCTGGCTTACTGGGTCTCTGTCAACATTTCTCTGAGGATAGGGCTTCCATCTTGGTTGCTTGCTTTAAGCATGATAAAATTAGTATAATAAAATTTCTTATCATGAAAAAGTAAAGGTATAAATTGTGCTAGAGTAGAGATAAGAGACCTGTTCCTTGTGATGCTGGAGACTTTTGTTAAAAAATGAGACGTGACACTAGAAAAATTACTGTAAACAGACCAAACACCCTATCCTATAGGTGCAGATTTTATTTGGGTCTTACTGGGCAAGTAATGGTTTTTTCAAGTTGTTCTGGTCAGAGGTAACAGAAGGAATGGTCCTAAAATAGACAAGCTCATTAAAAAAAGGGTAATCTTTAATATGCACTACTTTCTGATAAGGAGTTATTTAGAGTACTCCCAAGAAATCAGATTCAAGAAAACTGAATTGCCAGGAACTTACTACCAGTGCTGGAAGTGGTGAAGACACTTCCAGACACCAAAATACCACAAACACAGAGAATGCAGGATGGAAAAAAGTGTGTGGCAGGTAAATACAGTGTGGCTAAGGTAGGCTAGGGAGAGAGCTTTGGTCCTTAAATGAAGATATTAGCAAAAATTAAGAAGTAATTTAGCGATACTTTAACCAAACTGTAATTATATTTATTGCTTTTACTTTTTCTGCTCCGTACCAGTTGTTTCATCCCATATTTTTGCTTTCCATGCAAAAGAGGAAAGTATTCCTCTGACTACTTCGTCAGAAGTGCCTGAAGCATTTGCTCCTTAGAAAGGTCTGCAAATCTTTATATTTGCTATTGTCACAGAGGCAATTACTAGCCCATGACTTAAATCCAAACTGTAGTGGCAATGATGTTATTATTCAAATATATTGCATTTTTCTTTCATTTTCTGTGTTAAGTATGTGTGAAGATAGGAGATTAAAAGCTAGGAGTGTTGACATTTATAACCCTGTAGGAGCAAAACTAGGACATGTTCTTCCTACTCCTTTTGTGTGGATGCTTGTGCAACTGTACCCTTCACATGGCTTTTCGTAATCCTTCTCTTGATAAGTCACCAAGATTTCATATTTGTATAGTCAATGCATTTTTGATAATTCAGGGAACTCAATGTATTGTTTCAGTTAGGATGTTGCCAGTGTCTTGCAAGAAAAAGCTACTTATGCATTCTTTCTACAGAGTAAAAAGATACTAAACAAGATTGTTGCTTTTTCTTTTTCTCATTGCTGTCTTTTTCTCCTTCCCACCCTTTCCTTGCCCTCTTTGTTCTATTCTTTGAATCACTTCTTAGCTTTCTTTCTCACATTCAGCTTGTTTCTGAGCAACACTCCTACCTTCTTCATATAGAACTTAATTAGCTTAATTTAGTATTGATCCTACTTATGAATTCAGTCAAATGCTAGATTATGTAGTTAAATCAAGATGAGAACAAGTCATTGATAGGTGGTGCAATCTTGAGGTTAGTGGAACTGTGGCCAGAGGAGAGTTGCACTCAGAAATTTTGAAATTCTGCTTTTAGCACACTTCTAACCAGTTCAGTGAGAAAAATACAGCAAATGAGGGCAGCAGTCTAATTGTTTTTGAATCATACCCATATTTTATTTATTTTGTGTTCCATTTTCTGAACTAAACAGGTGACGTGCATTTACTGCTTCTTATTTATCTGTCCTATTCTTAAACCTGGAATTTTCCAAACACGACCTCATAATTTTCAAAGTGGAATCGCAAATATAAGATTTTGGGATCGGTGGCGTGACGATCCAAGTCAAACTACTTTGTAATTAATTTTCTCTGCCAACACTTCGTACCCTTTGGGTTCTTAATCTCAAAGTGGTGGTGTGTAAAACTGGAGCCAAGCACTGATGCTGTTTTCCCACAGGGCTTCTGAACGATGGGACCGTGGGCATCTTCCGAGGCAACCAGATGCGCCTGAAGCGAGCCTGCATCCGCAAAGCCAAAATCTCAGCCGTGGCTTTCCGCAAAGCCTTCTGCCATCACAAGCTGGTGGAGCTGGATGCCACGGGGGTCAATGCAGATATAACAATCACAGACATTATCAGTGGACTGGGCAGCAATAAGTGGATCCAGCAGAATCTGCAGTGCCTGGTGCTGAACTCACTGACTCTTTCTCTGGAAGACCCCTACGAGAGGTGTTTCAGTCAGCTCTCCGGGCTCCGCGCGTTGAGCATCACCAACGTGCTGTTCTACAACGAGGACTTGGCAGATGTTGCTTCACTTCCCAGGTTGGAAAGTCTGGATATATCCAACACCTCCGTCACTGACATAACAGCACTCCTCACCTGCAAAGACCGGCTCAAGTCTTTGACCATGCACCACCTGAAATGCTTGAAAATGACCACAACCCAGATTCTGGATGTTATAAGAGAACTAAAATACCTGAATCACCTTGATATTTCGGATGACAAACAGTTCACGTCGGACATAGCTCTTCGTTTACTGGAACAGAAAGATATCTTGCCTAACCTTGTGTCTTTGGACATTTCTGGAAGAAAACATGTCACAGATAAAGCTGTACAAGCATTCATTCTGCAGCGGCCCACGATGCAGTTTGTAGGACTGCTAGCTACTGATGCCGGCTACTCAGAGTTCTTAACGGGAGAAGGAAACCTGAAGGTTAAGTGGGGGAATTAATTTCACTGAAAAAATACAATGTGCAGGGAAAATAGAGCTAATTGTTTGTAACAAATGTATGTGTGTGTTTTAGAAGGAGGTTGTAGGTTAATTTATTTAAACTGTTTATTATAATTACTGGCTTTAGGTGAAATTCCTGCTTAATTTTGACGCAAGCTGCTAAATTTACATGATACTGTATGTATACTGCATATACTTGAAAGAGGCATCTGTTTTCTGTGCCTTTTCAGTGAACCTTCGATCTTGATTTTCCACATCTAAGAGAGCTGAACTTTGTCTTGTCTGAAGTCACTTAGTGGGATAATATTCCCTGGCTTCCAGACAGTATCTGGCATAAGTCAGCAATGTGTAAGGAGTGGAGGTAGAATTTGCATAAGCTTTGAGCAGTTCATGATTAACACGGCAGATACAATAAAGCTGAATCACTCAGCTGCTGTTGTGCTCCATCACCACTGCTATTTCCTCTTACAATATTTCTGCCTATCTTGAAAGGTCTTCTGGTGTTGAAGAAGCAATAACTTAGGATGAAAGACTTCACAAATCCTCAATTACTTAGCCCCTTTAGGATGAGATGATGTTTTCTGAAGTGCATTTATTTATCTTTTAGAGCCAGGCAACAAGACATCATTCCCTGTTGTGTAAAATCTGAAGGCAGTTATTGGAGAATAAGCAGGTCAGAATTAATTAAAAAAAAAAGTTGTTTTAGACATGTCAATGGTATATCATCTTTGACACTGAGTTTTCCTTTCTGCTGTGTCTTGAGGATGATGGAAGCTGCAGAGGGAATGAGGAAGAGAGCCTAATGTGTCCATAGTTTAGTCTGTCTCCTGTGCAAGTCTAGTTTTCCACTTCAGTTTTAAAATTCAGAATGCTCTTGTTGTAGGCAAGTGGAGTAACACAGCTACACAATTTTGTATTTTTTCCCCCTGAAACGTTTGATAGTTGTTAAGGGCCGGGTCTCTTGAGTGCTTAGTTGTCACAGCTGATAGCAAGTGTCTCAATGTTGAAATTCACAGAGAAAGCAAGTTCCCCTTTGGTATGATGACATCCAGCACCAGGAGGTTATACCTCATGTTTGGTGTAAAATAATACAATGTAATCCTTGCTGTTCAGAATACTTGTTTCATTGAATTGTCTGTGCCATGAAAAGGCAGGAAGGAAGAAGGTTCTAGTAATGTGAAAGTCACAATGGACTTGTGGCACTGCGGTTAGCAAAACGCAGTTTGCATTCCTTTTTTTTTTTTTTAAGGCATAATTGTCAAGAAGAGACTGCAGGCTATGATTGGTTTTATTTCCTTTTTTTTTTGTGACCTAAATCCATTAGTAACTCTACTGAAATATTCAACTGCTTAGTCTAGATACTGCTAAAGAGTAAACAAGACACAGAACTCATGGAAACAGCAGAGGTAAAATATTACTGTCTTTACAGCAGCCCTGTGAAATTTGATTATGAACACTGGGCAGATATTATAGTTAAGAACATGAAACCAAGTGGAAATTTTTCATGTAGGGTATAATTGGCTGTACAACATGTCAGTAAACAGGGTTGCCTTCTTCTAATCAGTGGAGAATATAAAACAAAATCCAAGATGATATCAGTTCTCTCAAGGCTGTAATATATTCCTGATATCAGAAGTTTGATAAAAATATGCCTGTATACAATACAGGATGCACAGAATGTGACTCTTCATATATGAACATTTTGCTTTTTTTGTATGTGCCATGTTAAGTAGAACAAGTTCTGCATTCTGCCCTAAGAATTTTAAAAAACAGTGATTGCAGCAATGATTCATTAAATAGTAGGACTGAGGAACAAACCAGTTACACAATTTACAGTTATAAACAGAAAATATCATTAAATGGAAACCAGAGCAGGCTGGCAATCATTTGCTTACTGAAGGACTTGGCCAAATCACTGTCTTTGAAACTGCAGCTTTGCAATTTTTGAGAACAAAATTTTGAAAGTAAAATGCTGACATCTTGAACTAAATATTATTTCTGTGTTCACAGGTGTCAGGAGAAGCAAATGAAACTCAGATTTCAGAAGCACTGAAGCGGTACAGTGAACGGGCCTTCTTTGTGAGAGAAGCACTCTTTCATTTATTCAGCCTGACACATGTCATGGAAAAAACTAAGCCTGAAATTTTAAAGGTAAAATAATAGTTTTGATGGTTTTTCCTGAGCTCATCCCCAAAAGTCTGGTATAAATTAGTTTATAAGATTTTTACCTTTTTGGTTGTGTTTTTTAAGATTAAAATTGTAATGTTAAATAAAAAAAAAGAACTATTTAAACATGAGTGATGTAGAAGATGCCCTGTAGTGTTTTATATTAGGCAAAATTGTTCTCTACTAACAGAAATTATCTAAATTTAGTAGCGTGTAAATTAATTTTTTCACGTACCTTTGATTATGATATGAAATATTCTTCAGATGCTGAATTCTGTCATTAGATCGTATCTGTTTGGGTTCTAATCAAAGGTGTGTCTACTCTTATTCACCAGACACAGCAGTGCCTTCTGCTGATGCTCATAAAGCAGTAATAATAAGGAAAGAATTCAGTGACAGTTTCTCTACTGTCACTCTCCAGTAGGGTAATGGGTGAATGGATATTGTTATTGTTCTGTATGGGGCTGTAACCTGGAGCCCAGGAGCTTCCTTAGAAATCCATTCTGGGCATTGGCTTTCCATGTCTAGAACATCAGAGGTGGTTTAAGTTTTGTAGGGATCCGAAAAGGAGGCACCAGTAGGACACGTGGTTTTTATTTTTCTTATTCTGTTTGATGTTGAACAAGTGGCCTTAAATTTGCTGGCATCAATATCAAAAAGACGTTGTCAGTCAAGACAACAAGAAATATTAAGTGTTTATTTGGTGAGATCACAATTAACATACGTAGCCAAAAACATCATTCAGGACAAAGCTGCAAAAAATCCTTCCTGACCTAGCAGCTCAGGATGTGATTGCAAATGGCTCATCACCAAACAAGGCACTACATCATTATCATTGCACTGCAGAAACTCTGTCCTGCTTCATTCACCTCTGAAAGGGTTTGGTGATTTTATCCCAACCTGGCTCTTTCTAGGAATTTCTTGCAATCTGTGCAGCCTCTTCTTTGAGAGGTTGCTACAAGCTGTGCAAAAGGACTCGGAGCAGTAGAAGTTGCCAGCTTTGAATCGCTGAGCAGAAGGAAATGTTACTCCTTGAGAATTCAAATCACACCAGATGGATTTCTCACTCAAGTGCAAGGGAGGCAGAAATTGGGTGCTGTGAGTCATTGTTGTGGCCTCGAGCAGGAGGCAGATTGTTCTTGGGGTCTGTGTGCAAATGTGCGAGCAGCTAACGTGGGCCCACCTTGTGCTGCAGCTGGTGGTGATCGGCATGAGGAACCACCCCCTGAACCTGCCCGTGCAGCTGGCGGCGAGCGCCTGCGTCTTCAACCTCACCAAGCAGGACCTGGCGGCCGGGATGCCCGTGCGGCTCCTGGCAGACGTCACTCACCTGCTCCTCAAGGCCATGGAGCACTTCCCAAATCATCAGCAGGTACAAGGCAAAACCTCTCTGATTTCTGTGCTGTCCTCTGTCTTGTGGGTCTCAGCTAAAGGTTTCTCCACATCCCAGCACCTCGTGGAAATATGTTCATAGCAAGAAAGTGTTCTGAAATTTGTGTGTTTCTAATGAACAATTATTTTTCATTTCTCACAGCTGCAAAAGAATTGCCTTCTTTCACTATGCAGTGACAGAATCCTTCAGGATGTCCCATTTAACAGGTAAGCTTTAGATGTCAGTTGAAATGAGTTGTAGCATTGCAGAATATTTTTGTTCAGAAGCTTTGTTTCTGGCCCCAGTTTTGCTCAGTTTAAATCATTCCAGTGTGCTGAGTTTATCTGGCCTATAGTGTTTTAGGTCTGTTGACCCATATATATGTATATACCATTGAGTGTAGGTCTGAAAAAATCCTCTGTTGTACCGGAGTTTTTTAACTTCACCTGGATGGGTCTATCCTTGATTCCACCTAACAGACGTCAGCATTTCTGTAGGGTTGCTTTTTGCAGACATTTTTCTACTGAAATGTTTTGCCCAAATACTTTGAAATGTGATGGTCTGCTGTTTCAGAAGATTGTGCCAAATTTTTCTTCCTTCTTTGGAAGCACTTCCTGTGCACTCTGATACCTAATTAGAAGTAAGAGACCCTAAGTCAGTACTTCCAGTTTCACTGTGTCTTTCTACTTTTCATGGTATGAAGTATACTTCTGTTGTCTGTGTACATCTTTCTTTTATTGTCACTTATGAGACTTATGAAAATTATGTTTTTTAACTTCCAGGTTTGAAGCAGCCAAACTTGTTATGCAGTGGCTGTGCAATCATGAAGATCAAAACATGCAAAGGATGGCTGTAGCCATAATTTCCATTCTTGCTGCAAAGGTATGGAATTAAGCTTTGAGATAATAGGATAACATTTCTAAAGTCTAAAATAATGTTGATTTGCTTTTGTTTGTTTACAGCTTTCAACAGAGCAAACAGCTCAACTTGGTGCAGAACTCTTCATTGTTAGGGTAAGTAGATGGTCTCCTGCCATCCCATCCTCTCCAGCTGTTCATACCAGCAGTATTCCTGAAGATACAAAGTAAACATAAGGAGATAAAATTCTAAGAACATATTAACATGTAAATTTTCTGTGAAAATTATTTAGAAGGTAAGCCATAGTGGAAAGACTTGACACAATTAATGCAAAGTAAAATAGCAAGACATATCTTGATTTGAAATTCATTGTTTAAGATGAAAGATGCTCAGAATGAGAATATGTGAAGTAAATACTGCTGTAAAGGTTCAGAGTTCTGTGGGTGGCTTTGTGCCATCTGTAATACCCCTACAAATGTAATTACTGTGGAAACAAGGAATTCCTTTAGCAGGCTACCATGTTCAGAGCAGAGGTAAAAGGTTTAATAGCCAGTTTATTTTGTATAGTTTGACTCTAAGCATGTATATCTTTACTCTGTGTATAAATGACAGCTATGCATTGCCCACTTAGTGTAGAAAAAGCAGAGGAGTTAATACATATGTTGATATTTTGATGGTTTTTTTTTCCCCCCAGCAACTTCTACAAATAGTTAAACAGAAAACAAATCAGAATCTTGTAGATACCACCCTCAAGTTCACATTGAGTGCACTTTGGAACCTCACAGATGAATCTCCAACAACGTGTCGGCACTTTATTGAAAACCAAGGGCTAGAACTTTTCATGAGAGTCTTAGAGGTGAGGAAGGGGGGCTTGGTGGTGGATTAGCAGCACAGGTTTATAATTAAAGCTGTTTCAATAATAAGTATAAACGTTTATTTGTTTTTGTTTCCTCTATCCACAGTCTTTTCCATCTGAATCATCCATCCAACAGAAAGTTCTTGGACTTCTGGTGAGACGAAAAAGAAAAACAGTCTGAAATATATACTTTTAACATTTTATTTTGAAAGGATTTTTTTTTATGCTATGTTAATCTGAAAAATCAGTTTTTCATATCCTAATATTTTTTACGTTCTTTAATCCTTATAGTGTGTATTATTTGCAGTTGACATGTTTTTGGACTGTTTTGTGTTTCTTCAAAAGTTATATTGAAATTGATGGTTAGAGTAAATAAAAAGAGCTTTTCAGAAAGGTGAGTGAGGCTTCACATGGGTCCAAATGCAAAACGTAGGTTGAAAGTCAGCAGAATGCAAAATTTTGTGCTGCTGAAATTTTTTGAAATTGGGCTTGAGAATGTTAAAAATTGTCTTTGATTTAGTGTAATCTAAATGTTAATGGCATAAAATCACTTAGGAGAAAACCTCTTTGTTTTGATGCAAATTCCTGCATAGACTGGAAAAATTTCCTAAAGCTAAAGTAGTATTTTGGCAGGTGGTGGTCACTGATGTACAGAGATCTCATCTGAGTGTTTACCTGTGTCTACTCACACAATATAGCTCAAGTTTGTGTTTGTCTCCCTCACACCATCTTCTTTCTGTTGACATTTTCTCTTTTTTTTTATTATTTATTTCCCCATTCCAGAATAACATAGCTGAAGTGAAAGAACTCCATTCTGAATTAATGTGGAAGGACTTCATAGACCACATCAGCAAATTGCTGCACAGTGTGGAGGTGGAAGTCAGCTACTTTGCAGCAGGGATTATTGCTCATCTGATATCTCGAGGAGAGCAAGCCTGGACATTAAGTCGCAGCCAGAGGACATCTCTCCTTGAACAGCTGGTACAGAAATAATGGTGAATTTTATCACAGTCTTTTCTATTTTTTTTCAATGTTTGTATTTAACAATCAATGTTCTTGGTTCTGTTTTACAGCATACTGCCATTTTGAATTGGCCAACCCCAGAATGTGAAATGGTGGCTTACAGGTAACTACTGTCTTATCTTGTGATCAAGAGTTTGGGGGGAAAAAAGCACACCACTACTTGCAGGTAGTTGTCTTAAATGAGATTTAGATGCAGCAGACCAGCCTCTTAACATTTATCGATGTCTCCTGTAGTTAGCATGTGGCTGAATGAACACACATATGACCTCTGAAGTAATAGTGTCTAGTAATAAAGCAAATAACTGTTTCATTTTTTTTTTAATAGGTCTTTCAATCCATTTTTCCCACTACTTGGCTGTTTCATGACACCTGGTGTCCAGTTATGGGCAGTGTGGGCCATGCAGCATGTCTGCAGCAAAAATCGTATGTATTGAGAGAATATTACCCTTAAAATTCTTATTTTTTGGTATGTTATTCACTAGCATGAAGTGGGAAAAATAAGAATTTCTGGGGTATTCACTCCTAATCCTCTGGAGAAACTACATTTGGGGCTTGACTGAATGGGGCAGAAAAAGAGAGTAGTAAAAGTTCCTTACATCTCTTCTATTAACTGAAATATTACTGTTGAATGCATAGTGTTAATTCCAAAATATGGATTTGTTAGGATTTAACTACATTTTTTGCTTGCACATGTGTTTTTATTCAAATAGAATATGAAAATATTAATGCTAGGCAACAAATTCCTTTTAAATTAAGAGCAATGACCGTGGCAGTTAGCAGTGTCTTACTATGGGAACAGAAGCTATCGTTATTCCTCATCTCTAATTGCCTTTTTGCAGCAACTTGCTGTGACATAAGTGTCACTTTCTTAACCTCTCTTTCCCATCTGAGAAATGAGAAGTAGAATGATTTGAGAGCATCTGATGTAATGCACAATTGTTGGGAAAAGGAGATAAATCCCCCAACCATACCTAAGTGTAGGAGGGGACAAACCTTCCTGGCTTTTAATGTTGGGGTTTTTTTTGACAGAAAGTTTTGGCATGAATATATCTATATAAAGCCGATTTCTTCTAAAGTATTTAAAGTGTTTTCTGTGCCAGGTTTTAATCTCCTTGATGGCAGCATATCTAGGCTTGTTTATCCCTGTCCCATAAATCTGTATTTCTGCAGTGACAAGGCATCTATTCAGGACCAATAACATCACATAATATATAACTGCACACATAATACTGTTTTGCTGCCCTTCATAGAGCTCATAAATATGCCACTGTTCCTAGGGTACTGTCCAGAAATCTGTGAGATTTTTCATGATGAAGTCAGACAGTTCTGACAGAATTGTTTTACTGGTCAGATCTGGATAACAGATTACAAATAAGGCCCTGTAATTTCTCTTTGTGCCTCAGTCCTGTTAACTTTATGTTGTCCTATTTGTTCTATTTATTTTTGGTATTTTGTTTGCCCTCACATTTAAATTTTTAACATGAGGTTTGTATTGGCCTACTCCTGATTTGAGACCAAGACAGAATTCGTTTCGTTCTGATGGTAGTTGATGCCAGAAGCTTCTGGACAGAGTTGCAGAGAAACCAAATGTTTGGTAGCAAATATAATAACCTACTGTGGGGGAAAAAGTGTTTAATTCTGAAATATTTGGAAGGAAAATCTTCAGCTTTTGGTGCTTGGTACCAAGAAAGCTTTTAGTAGTCCTGGAGAGGAGATGCTTTTTAATTTGACCTCCTCTTATAGATTACTGTGTAAAGTAGTCTAGAAGTAATTGGTGTAAAATTTTTTATATTTTTTTTTATTCTGCTGCTGTTTGTCTATGTCATAGTCCCCTCAGTGAGGTAACCTAACTAAAATATTTGTAGTGCCACAGTAAATGTGATCCCCAGAGAAATGCTCAACATCAGCATTAAAACAAATCTGGTGTTGCATCACTGAGATGAATGGTGAAATTGGGCCTGTCTGAGGTAATGCCCTGTGGATTGCATTACAGTCGTCCTGACCTTTCCAAAACAACTTCTGGAGCTTGCACATTACATTCACCCTACAGCTCTTTTTATAGCTGTTCCCTGCACTTAATAATGCTGCAGCTGATGGGGGTGTGATTTCAACTTGCTGAATTCCAGAATGTAAGTGGAAAAAGCACTGGAAAGACATTTGTAGCAACTTATAATTAATGAGAGGCCACCATCAATATATTTAGCAAACTATTGGAAGGAACTAGTTTGTATTTTCTCTCCAAGCCTGGAGGCCTCCGTAAATGATGTGGTATATCTGGTACCTTTTTTTGGTAACTGTTCTGTACCAAGGTTTTTGGGAAAGGGGCTGTTATTACCTGGATGTTCACAGACACTATAGTGCTTTTGATTCCCATTTCTTCTGCACTTTAAATGCCTGTAGAGGAGCTGGGGGAAGAGAGAATACTGTGCATATTGCAGGGCACTTTCCAGTCAGCTGAGACAGACTGGTAAGAGACCTGATTACAGCTGGAGTCCTGTCCAAATAACTCTGTTGTGTTGTCAGTTAAAGTACTCATGCACTTCTGTGGACACTTTAGGGAGTGTCTTAAATACTGCCTGGAGACAAAAGTGGATTTGAATCAGTGTTTACAGTATCTCCTACCTTTACCCTAGATAATCCTGGTTTTAATTCCCTTTTTATAATCCTATTACAGCCGCCAGATACTGCAGCATGTTAATTGAAGAAGGTGGTTTGCAGCATCTGTACAACATCAAGGAAAATGTCCACACTGATCCCCATGTCCAAAGGATTGCTGTTGCCATCCTGGATAGTTTAGAAAAACACATTATGCGCCATGGGAGACCACCACCGTGTAGAAAACAGCAACAAACCAAACCAAACTGAAAGCTGCAGGTAGAGGAGTGTAAAGTATTGTCTTTGTAATAATCCTCTCTGATATGTGTGTAGTTGGAGTAACTTATAATATATTGGTCACCATTAAAGTGATTTGCTGGTAACTGTGGTACCCAAACCATGTGTGGTAACCTTGCTGAACGTCACCTTTAATGGCAACCTCGTACACAACTTGTAAAGGGTCACAGCTTGAGCTGGTCATGCCTGCAGGTTAGTGCTGGCTACCAGGAGATGGGACTTGTACAGATCCATGTGCACAGCTGGAAAGAAGACTTCAAGGAGTATCTTGTTTTGTGACTTCTGAGAGAAAAGGCTGTTCCATCCTTGTGATTGCTGTTCATAACACTGTTCACCAGTTTGGTGTTTGAATAAAACTGTGTGTGGTTGTGAGATCAACACTTACAGACTAAAACAAAAGTCCATGCATGCAGGTGACAGAGAGACTTGTAACTAAGGCGACCAAAATGTCCATTGTCTCTTCACCCCTCTAGACACAAATGGGGTCTTCAGCTTCCTTTTCCTTTGCCTGCAAGCCATGTTCTTTTGTTTTCCTTGCTGCTGGGATGATGCCTTTTTACAGTTCATTTCTCCAGAGTCCTCCCTGCTCCTGTCAAGGTGGGGACCAGCATCACATTCAGGGAAAGGGGAAACCCATTGAAGTAAAACAATAGAAACAGAACTAAAATGAGATAGTACTAAAAGGATGTTTGAGAATTTAAATTTTATAACAAGAATGGGGTTTTGTTGTTGTGTGACTACTTTTGGTTGTGTGTGATATCTTTCTTTTGTTTTTAGAATACTCATGGGGATAGGAGAAGGCTTATTAGAGCAAAAACCTGACATGACTTCATCATGGAGGGGGTTGCATGTATTCATAGAAGGCTGGGATATTTGGTCACCTTATTTATAAGAGACTAATGATTGCTTTCATTTTCTGTAAATATTCTGTGAGTATTGTGCAGTGAATTATATTTCCAAGCCATCACAGTGAGTGCAAAGTATCACCCAATGTTCTGTGTAAGCCCTGTGTCAATTGCATTGTTTTGTGGAGTACGAAATTTTACATAAAGATGCTAATTGTAACAACTTATTTCTTTCTTGGTTACCTTTGGGTTTCAAACCATGTGTTGAATGAAACATATTGCACAATGTACAGATGCCTGATAGAATGCAAGTGATGGAAGCAAACTGCATGTCCATTCAAATTCAATTTAATTTCAGGTGTTGTTTTTGTTTATCTGCTTAGTCTCCATATTTCCATGGCAACTGATTGATATTCAGAGACTCTTCTGTAAATACTGGGTAATTGAATTTAAAAAGAAAACTTATGTTTGGTAGCTTACCAGCAGAAATGGCTTCTTCATGATGACTGTATTTTACTATTTTTAAATCCTTTCCCTCCCAACTCCCATCCTTCACATAAAAACACCACCTCTAATCTTCAATAACCTAATTAATATGTATTTCAGCAACCTCAGAAGGTACTGATCCAGTAATTTAATCAGTGTTGTGTAATTGTTTTTTGTACTAGAGTATAATTTTGGCTGGCATCATTTTAATCTGTGGATCTGGTTATATAAAGTTTTCTCCATTCCAACAGAAATTCAGCTGGCTGTAGCTTTGAATTATGAAGGTGGTTTAAAAATTAAAAACAGCCTACAGGCTTTTACCCACCACCCTTCTAAGATGTCTGCTATGGAATTTCCTTTACATTAAATGAAACACAAAACTTGTCAAAATTGGTGTCAATAGAATGAATATAAATCAATTGCTACAAGATTTTAAAATAAAGATGACAACTCTCCTTGCAGTGCTGTCTTTTCCTAATAACAGGAGAATTTGCTGAAGCAACTTAACTGAAAAAAAATTACTCCTTGCAGCACAAAATGCAAGGGTGATGCTGACATCAGGCCAGATGAGAGACGTGTCACTTCATTAAGTTCTGCAACCAGCAAGCTCAGAGATGCTAAATGCCCATTTTCTTTTGCTGTCCCACTCTTCAGGCAATCAGTGAGCAGAACTCTTTAAAGCTGAAAACTCTGCATGCCTACAAGGTATAAGTGCACTATATCTCTTTGTGTATGCCACTTGTAGAAAGGTCTCTTCACACTCCTGTGCAACTTCAGAAGTTTCTGCTAGGGTGGAATAATTCTGGAAGCAACTTTCAAACTTTGTGTTCCACCTGTAGCAATTGCCATCTTTTGTGAAGGCTGAAAATCCTGACTCTGCTTTACCTTTGCAGATCTTTACTTAGAAAATTTGTATGTGTATAATTTGGTAAGGTTCCCACACACTTTTGGCACAAGTGAAACTGTGGTTTCCTTTGATACTATCGTAGCATGAAGTTCCAATGTGGTAAGCCACATCTTATTTTGATAACCTATAAAGCATTTCCTAAAACCATGTTTGCTGATTAATTTTTTCAAGCCCCAGTCTAGGGAAAAAAGAAGCTTATTTTGATAACCTATAAAGCATTTCCTAAAACCATGTTTGCTGATTAATTAATTTTTCAAGCCCCAGTCTAGGGAAATAAGAAGATGTAGAGCTAAATTGTGTGGCATGTTTTAGTGCTGGAGAACCTCAAAGCAGAAGGAGAAAATAACTTCCAGTCAGCTAACAGAGGAAAACAAGTGATGGAGAGAGATTATGTGCCCAGGGTGTCTGGCATAGACTGATGTGATGGCCTCATGTACCTGTGCACATGCAGGCCCATGTTTTCTCAAGCACTGGCTCCAAAGGGAGGTGAGTTTGGGTTCCTGGAGTGGGTCAGTGTTACAATACTCACAGCAGAGCTGGGGTCAGGGGCCACTGCTCTGTGCCTGTTCTGTCAAAGCAGTTGGAAGAACACTGATACATCTTTATAAATTTAATTTCTCTCCAGTGTTTGTTTTTCCTGTTTAGATGCACTATGTTTTCTGCCTTTTTAAAAAAAATTTGCTTGTGGTAAGCCAAAACTTCTCCACATTCCTTACTTGACATCTGTGTGAAAGCCATAACCACTGACTTCAGATGAGCATGCTTTAAAGATCTGGTGTACAAAGTTAAATCTTTATTTGGAGATTTGTACAGAAGAATGATCCAGTGGAATAGTTAGAAATGCAGTCCAAGGCAGGGAGTTAAGTGCACAGAATGGTGTCATAAAAATAATCCTAAGAAAACAGTGGATCCTCCTCAGTCCTGCTCCATCTCCAGAAACTGAAGGGGAAGCAGGAAGCGTTATTTGCCGGTGAACCGAGGTGGTCGCTTCTCCCTGAAGGCAGCCATCCCTTCCTGACGGTCTTTGGTGGGAATATTCTACGTGAGAAAACAAATAAAACAAAGAGGTATGTTTTCCATTTACAAGTCTGGTGTCATTTTAAGTCCTGACTAATTTGGCAGCAGTAGTGTAAGACTGAGATTGCTTTTCTTGCAATGATACATAAAATTCCATGGTTTGCAATTAGGAAAAAAGAGACAGGGTTGTAGTGTAACTCACAAACATAGCACCTAAGAAAAAAACCATAGATCTATATAGGAAAACAGTTTTCCCATAATCTTCATGCTCCATCATCTTAAAATATGCTGAGAGACACATTATATTGTAGTATTGTAATACCCTATATTGTTCCATTAACTGAGAAAGGTGCATGCTCTCAAAACTTGCCATGAAGAACTACAGGAGGAATAATTTTGAATTTTTTAAACTAAAACCATTTGTAAACCTCATTCTATAACTAACATATAGTTGTTCCTTTCAGGAATGAATTCTGAAGGCAGTTTACCTGGGCATAACACATCCCCTCAATAGCCATCCCTGATGCAATGTCAACCTGGGAAGGAGAGGAAAGGTGTGAGGTTTGTCTGAAGCACAGCCCTCAAATCTACTTCATAGCTTTCACATCAATGAGAGCAGTCAGTCACTCTCAAACACTCAAAGTAAGTGAGCTTCACTCCAAATTAGAAGTACAGTATTACTATCTGTAGAAAAAAAAATCCTGCCATTTTACTTTTATCTTTAAAGAAATATTTTAAAATCTCTGAAATGTTTTTAAATGTCTGATATAAAGAAAAAATTTATAACTCATCTGTTCTAAATATTTTTACTGTAGTAATTTGTAAGAGCTGCTAATCTTTTCATTCACTTCATTATTTAAACAAAAATAATTATTACCTCCATTCCTTTGTTTATTGCCAGTTTTCCCATTTTCACAGCAAATGGTGCCTTTATTAAAAATAAAAACAAACCACAACAAGTACTTTAAAATCATTAAATTCACATTGATTTATAATAGGTGAATTGTTATATTATTCTTTTGCTCCAAATAACATCTTGGTCTACGGAAATCTGTGGTAAGTTAATAAGCATTTTATAAAAATCAATTTGCTGTTGTCTGCAGTTCACAGATGAATACGGTGTGAGGTTTCAGTGTGTCCTGCAGCTGGGAGCTAAACCTGTCCTGTGGGTTAAGCAGATGAATTTTAACACTTGTTCCTGCAGTAACTGCATTCACACAAAGGAACAGACTTAAAAGAGACTTAAAGATCAGGAACCAAGACTTCAGCATTTCAGAGAAAGGAATTCCAGGTGTTTGTTTGCTCTCTCTTCAGGGGAGCACAAACGCTGTCTATACGTTGGTCCCATGAGCAATGCACTTACCTGGGGCAGGATTTCTTTAGCCAAAGTCAAAGCTCTCTGGTAAGCTGCATCTCCCTCGCTGTTCTGTGGCACTGAGTGGTTTACCAGCCCCATGGAGGCTGCCTGGTCTCCATCAACCTGTCTGCCAGTGAAAATGAGTTCCTTTGCAAGACCTATTCCAACACATCTGGGCAGGCGCTGCGTTCCACCTTAGGACAACAGGGAAAACACCATTTTCCATTTCTGACAAATGCACCAGAAGTATTTTGTCTCCTTATAAAAACAGGAACCTTAAAAAATAAAGGGATCATATATTTCCTTACTAACTGCTAGCTGAATATGTTAACATTTTTGGAAGCATCTGAAAGTCTTCAGTATTTTGATAAGAAAGAAAAGGTGTAAAGGGACTTTCCTGCATTCAGAGTAAGTCTGAGACAGAACTCTTGATTCATAGATCTCTTTTGTGACTGTAAGATGCTACTTCTAATTTACATTCAAAACACTTCAAATATTTAAGAACACACTCTCATGGCAAAAATATTTACAATACAGCTGAGAAAGTGAGATTTAATGAATATTAATGAAGGTTTAATGAAGGTTAAGATTTGATGAAGGTTACCTGCTCCAGGCAGAAGTCCTCGTGTGGTCTCAATAAGCCCCATTTTAGCTGATGAAGCTATTAAAAAAATAAATGTAAGGTTAGATACATTTTGATTTGTATAACTACAAGTTTTCCAGATTGAACTGATCAATAAAATTAGAAACTGTCAATACTTAGCTGGAACTCCATTTCTCCAGGTAGCCAGAAAGTCTGAATACTACAGTGTTTACTCCATGTCTGTCTCAAATCTGCTTACCCCAATGTAGCAATTTTAGCTAGAAAAATTAACTTCACCTCCTTGCTAGATAAAATATAATGGATGGAAGCATGGAAACAGAAGAAATAAGTCTTCTAACCCAAACTGATTTAAGCTGGGAAGGTTCGATCTAGCCAGAGTATATCTGATCCAGTGTTAGGTTACTATAACTATTCAATCTTACTAATAAGTAGATTTCTAAAGAAATCCTAATCTTACCTAAACATAGGCTTTACTTCTTAAGCACGGGAACCACTTTCCAAATAACTAAATGTCACCATTTCTGTACAACCTTCTCTTAAATTTCTCTCAAGCTTCTGGATTCCATTAACAATCCTCTGTCATATGTGTCAGTTCTCTTTAAAATGCAGCCATCACTTCCCAGGAGATTGCTACACTGAGCAACACAAACCTGCTACTCGGAGGTCACAGGCCAGGGCCAGCTCTAATCCACCGCCCAAGGCGTAGCCATCGATTGCAGCGATCGTGGGCACAGGCAGGGCAGCTACAGAAGAGAGCACAGATTGCACAGTTGTGTTCCACAAGTTCTGTTCCACATGGCCCTGGAATTTAAATCCTTACGTTCTAAAGCTTTCAGTTCAGAATCGCTCAAGGACTCATTTTTTTCTGCCACAAATTTTCGGTCTGGAAACAGTAAAAATGATCTTGTACTTCTCCCTTCTTTGTAAGAATGCAAAACATGATTCTTCCATGCAAAGAAGCTTGCAAACAAAGTACTTCAATGCAAAATAGAATCAGTCCTCTCCTTGCAAATTTATGACATGAATATTCATCTGTTGCAGTTAAACAGCCAAAGAGAAGACACCATCCCTAGGCCGTGTCACAACACTTAGCTTTTGTGGTGCTTTTGTTAGCCAATGCTCCTGAAAACAGGAGCAGTAAATACTGTTTAACAAGGTTACCTCATAGTTGAGGAGCTTGATGTATCTGGAGATTAGCTGCTTGATACTTTTTTAAATACTCAGGCAGCTGGATGCAAACTTCTGAGGTGAGCTAGTTCTCTGCTGTAACCACCCCTCTGACTGCTCCTGTCATTTTCAAAAAATTATTGCAATTCTGATTGGTATTTTAGACAGATTTGACTTTGCTGTTTCTTTCTAGTGAGAGCAGATAGGGGAAGAAAATTAATTGCAGAAGCTCATATTCATCTTGCAAAGAAAAATAAAAGGGAGGTGAGGGAGTTGTAGATACAATCCCTCCTGACACTGCACAAATCCATTCAGCAAATCCATTCAGCGATTCAAATCCATGTTCTTAGGTCTCTGCCACATTTTGAGTGTTTCTGAACATATACTGGAAGTGGGACAACCAACACAGCACTTGCCTTCCAAGGATTCCACAGAAGTATGGAATAAATAAATGCTGTCTTGGAGCAGGTATATATTACATAGGTGTGTATGTGCTGTGTTGTGCATAAGAAATACATCTTGTCCTTGGAGGGGCAGCAGGATGGTTGGGATTTAATTCTAATTGGATCTTTCTTTCAGGCATAAGCTGAAGCCATTTGGAAAGCTACTCCTAGTTGGATAACCTGCTGGTTATCCCCTCCTACAGCATTTCTAAATGTTTCACTTCAAGTGGTCTAGGATACATTTTGCAACTGATGTAATCCTTTACCTATTTCATCCATAAGATTTCTCAGTCTTCTAACAAACTCTCCAACTTCTGCATCATCCATCTGTGCACGTTCCTTTAAATCTGCTCCTAAATAAAGGAGAAAAAGGTTAGAATCCAAGAAAAGACATCTTAATGTTCCCTCCTGTCCCTCTCAGAGGACAGACCATTTGAAAAGTCTTGAGATACAGCATTCCAGCTAAGTAAGGTCCATGGAAGTTGGAGTGTGCACATTTGGGGTGCAGCAGTAACAAGGGTGCCCCTCTGTGCCCTTTTGACAGATTTATTTTTATTTCTTCTAGCACTCATGTCCAACTGCTTTTCCGCATTATCTGATTGGCACACAGCCCTAAGAGCCACCACATTTTTTGAGAATAGTTTGCAGAGCCTTTGCTACTCACCTGCACAGAACACTCCTTTCACCTGGCTCTTGAACACCACCACACGCACCTGCTCATCGAAGCGGAGCCGCTCCAGGGCACCGAACAGCTACGGGAGAGGGAGTGCAGACAAGAGAAAAAAACATTTAGGCAGATGGATGTGTACATACACTGAAATTATAGCAAGTTCCTAATCTGTGATAGAAGTGTTTTGGTTTCTTTCCCTGCAGGTGCAAGAAAATTCATGGAAATCATGTCAGAGAACCTACAGGTTTTTCCATGACAAATTCAGAATGACATATTTCCCCATCTCTTTTTTCTTTCCACTCAGAGATGAACCTTTGCTGTACCTAAAACTTCCCTTCCTGTCCAGGCACGAACCAGACTTTCTCTAGGTTATGTCATCCTTGAACAGTTCACCTGCTAAGATGTGACAATGAGTATGCTTTTGTTGTAATGACACAAGTAAGGACATTAATTTGCATCTGAGTTAACTTCAATAAATTAACTTAAATTAGCTTACTTAAATAACCCAGGTATCTCTGTCCACATCTGAGGCAGTAACTGTTACATTCTGTTTTTCTCCAGGTTCACCTGTCTTACCCCAATGCCATTTCCCACTGCCCTTCACCATGAGATAAGTTTCTTTAGATTTCCCACAACTATTCTCACTGCAGTTAGTTATTGATCATGGTTCCAAACACACGCACGGGCCAGGCCCATACTCACTTCATTTACAAATACTTTTCCCAGTGAATTTCTCGCGTGGGGTCGATTCATTAGGATTTCAGCAATACCTTAGTAATAGGAGACAATTTCAGTTATACTTCATTTAGTTCTCTGACACAGTAATTCAACTGGGAATAATATCTGCTTATGCTTCTCCTTCCTGAAAATGCATATAAAGTATATTCTAAAACAGTCAGTTATTTTAAAACTGGAGGTGGCACACCATGTCTATAAAACCCAGTTATGCAGAACAACTGTAAAATTCAGTAGGCCTGTAAAATACTGTGAGTAAGGAGACTTTTAGAAATGATCAGGACATCCAAGAACATATATCTGAGAATCACTGCAGAAATGGGAAAAAAACCACCAAACAACAAATGAAAACCCAAATGATCCATCTTAGGTTTCTCCTTTGAATGTCATTTAATTTAATTTTTATTATACAGTCTTGCTGTGTTCAAGTACATTTCCTAATGAAGGAAACCATTCTTTCGGGATTGCTGTTTGCATGAGAACAGCACAGACTGGTCACACTCAGTTCATGTTCCAGAAACATTTTGAAAAGTGAACTCCGTTTAATTTCAACATTATAAGCTCATCAGCAGAAAGGACTCTACTCAAAGTTCCTAAGTCCAAGCAGAAAAATAAAACCACAACATCTACCTACATCTCCTTAGTACATGTGATTTGTAAATTATTATCCAACGCCTTCTGTATGCTTTGGAGAGAAAAAAACATCTCCTATTTCCTTGTCTGGACTTCTGCTCACTTCCCAGGCCTTAACACTGGGAAATGCTGTTGCTGTGCTGTAGGTGCACAGCTGTACCTTGCACCTGCCCTGCTTGGTCCTTCTGCCCTGCTGGAAAGTCTCTGTTTATTCCTCTGCCCATGGCAGTGGCCAGCTGCTGAACCGGAGATGTGTCCCACTGGAACGGAGACACACGTGAACAGCGGGAACCAGCAAAGGAAATGTACAGCTGGTAACTGCCTAATGTCTTTGTAACCAGCAAAATACCAAGAACTGTTTATAAACTCCTGCAACAGTTACGCAGAAAGTAAATCCATGGCAATCTGAACCAAACCTCACACTGTTTCGTGGCTCTCATAGATAAATGTGCACAGACATGTCAAGGTCCTGTCCTACCTTTATCACTGCCCATTAATGCTGTTAGAAAAATCTAAAGTATGCAAACCAGAACTTCTTGCGTTGAGGTCGCATTCACGCATAACTTTAGGGAGAAAAAAAAGTATCTAGCTATTCATTCAGCAGCGTTCTTGAGAAAAAAGTATCAAGGCACGACTGAAATCAAAACAACAAAGAGCGCCCGGGACTCGGCAGGGCTGTCCCCCCCGCTCGGCTGGGAACGCACGGCCACGCTCACGCCAGGCCGGGCTGTTTCCAGCAGGAGCTGCCAGAAGCGGGGCCGCACTCCGAGCCCGGCACTCACCGCCGCCGGCCGCGCTCAGCAGCACCTCCGCGCCCCGCGGCGCCCCGNNNNCCCGCGCCCCGCGCAGCGCCGCGGGCACCGCCCGCCACAGCCGCAGCATGGCCGCCGCCGGAACCGGCACCCCGCCCGCCCCGCCTCCCGGGGAGCGGCGTCGGCAGGGACACAGCGCCCACACAGCCCGCTCGGGAGCCGTGCGGCGGGGAACGAGCGCGCCGCCGCAAACAGCACCGCCAGAAGCTTGGCTGAAGTTGGCGCCGGATGTGCGGGATGCCGCCGGGTCCGTGTAGGGCAGGAGGTGATTTGCATTGTGCCCGAGCCGTGGGGATCCTCAAGGATGACAGAGTGGGGGAAGGGGAAGTTGAGTGGATGAAGGGAAGCGTGAGTTGATGAAGGGTCAGGTGTTCGGCTCTCACTGTAAATAAATCTGTATGTAACAAGCAGCATTTCAGAAAAAGAGAACGATCTCATCAAGTATCCTTCCCAAAGACATCTCTGGAGGAAAAGAATTACAGAACCGCTGGATCAAATGGGTTGGAAAAGACCTCTGAGACCATCAAGTGCAGCCCATGACTGATCACCACCTTGTCCCCTAGACCATGGCACTGGGTGCCACATCCAGTCTTTCCTTAAACACCTCCAGGGATGGTGACTCCAGCACCTCCCTGAGCAGCCCATTCACCCTTCCTGTGAAGAAATTCTTCCTAATGTCCAACCTAAACTCTTCTGGCGCGACTTTAGGCCATTTCTCCCATGCTGTCCCTTGTTCCCTGGGAGCAGAGCCTGACCCCCAGGGTGAGGAGCTGTGGAGAGCAGGAAGGGCCCCCCGAGCCTCCTTTTCTCCAGGCTGAGCGCCCCCAGCTCCCTCAGCTGCTCCTCACAGGACTTGTACTCCAGACCCTTCATCATTTTCGTTCTCTGGAGAAGCAGCGAACTTCATTGCACCTCCGCTTAGGGAAAACGTCTGCTAATCGCCGGGATGGGGGAATTCGGGGGGATAAACAGGGATGTTTGTAAGTCTGGCCATGGCTGCGCTATGGACAGGGACACCCGGCCAGTGCCGCAGTGGGGGCGCTGCGCCTTTAAGGGGCGGGTCCGTGGGGCCTGGCCCCCGGGCTCTCGCTCCGCCCCCGCGCGCTGGCCCCGCCCCGGTGTCGCTGAGGGCCCGCGGGACGCGGCGGCAGCAGCGGGGACAGCGCGTTCGTTCCGCCGCCATCGCCATCATGCAGCGCCGGGTGTTCGTGGTGGGCGTCGGCATGACCAAGGTACCGCCACCCTCCCCGGCACCCGTGCGTGCGCGGGGGGACACGACCCGCGCGAGGCCGACTTCGGCTCGACCCCTGGCTGTCCGCTGAGGGGAAGGTGCTGCGGGAGCCGCCCTTGCCCTCCCCGGCGCGGCTGAAGCCCTCACGGGACGCGGTGGCACTTGCAGGGCGCACTGGCAGAGCCCTGTCCCGGCCCGGCGGCAGCGGCTCCGCGCAAAGTCCACCCTCGCTCGGGGCGTGGGGGAGGCCGGACCCCGGCCAAGGTGAACGTGCTGCTCCACAGAGCAGGTCGGTGCAGCAGCCCTGCAGCGGGCACGGTGTTTCCGTGTCCCCGCAGCCCCTGGCCCAGGGCCCGTCCCGGGACAGGGGCTCAGGGAGGGCAGGGCCCTGCAGGTCTGTTCCTGGCCCTGGGGTTGTGAGCGCACGGTTCGCCCCGCTCGGCTCCTCCGCAGCTCCCCGGGAGCAGGTGCACCCGGGCGGGCCTGGGGCTCTTCTCGCCAGTAACAAGTGATGGGACAAGAGGAACTGGCCTGAAGTTTCCACAAGGCATGTTTAAGGCTAGAATTAGGATTAAGTATAATTCCTTCACCGAAAGGGTTGTCAAACCCAGGAACAGGCAGCCTGGGTTTGGCAGTGCTGGGGTAACAGTTGAACTTCTTTAAGGTCTTTTCCTACCTAAACAATGTTATGATTTTCAAAGAGGGGCAGTAAAAGAACCATTTTTGTCTTGATAGATGAATCTTAAGACAACTTTGACATTTGCCAGAGTAATCAGAAAATCCTCCTTCTTGTCACCTCTTAAATAATAACTTTTTGTCTTGTTGCTGCATGGGTACCTCTCCAGCATGCGATGTGATAGGGGAGGAATTGAAAGATGAAAGGCAATTCTGTTAATTGTGTTTATTGAACTAGATCACAGAATGTAGTGATAGAAGTTATTGAGCTCACTTGTGATGTCCTCATGGAAGAGACAAGTAAAACCTGTCAGACACCATATTGCATCTTAAGTATTTTACAATGACATTTTTAGGACTGTATTGCTTGTATCTGATCAACATTAATGATGTAATGACTGCTAAAATTTGTTATATCTTCTCACAGCAACAGTCCACATTTCCTGTGTGTAACTGTCAGTTCCCCAGTGCTCTGCATTTTCAAATCTCAGTTACGACTTGAGGAATTGTCAGTACTCTCTTCTCCTCTCTGTTAGCCCAAGCAGCAGCAATCACTCTTACAGATATCTACAATGACCAAATCACCAACTGTTTTTATGACCTTTGCAATATAGGTTCTCTGTCTAAATTAATGAAAGGAGGCACTGCAGAATGTACAGCCAAGTGGTACAAATGACTGGAGTCAGGGACATAAGCAGAAAGAGGGAGCAGATTAACTTTCATATGCTCACAGGGGACATCAAATAATTTGTGGGATTATAAGTGGTTAACATGAGGATTTCTTTAGCAGTGATACTTTATGTTAGTGATGTAAAAATGCAAACCACATGTACTTGTGGTGGTCTCTAATGAGTCACATTGCAAAGAAAATAGAAATGCCACCTCTACTCCAGTGGTGAGGAGTAAGGTATGATAAATTCTCTACATAGAACAAACATTTTCTTGTTGCAAATAGGATTATAACAAAAAAAAAAAAAAAAAAAAAAGGGAAGAGGAAGTATTTATCAAAACCTTAGTGAATCTTATGATGAATTGGTGAAGACTGCAGTTATTCTCTGTCCCACCCACAGGCTTTGGACAGGATTATTGTCCATCTCCATAGTCATAGATCATCTTTAACAGTGACTAGAAATGGGTCTCAGCTCCCATAAAGTTTTCTCCTTTTAGCCATTGCAGGGTCTGGCAGCAGCACTTGGGAATTGTAAAGATTTTGTACATGCACTTTTGGGTCAGTGAAATTACATTTTTTTTGCATTATTTAAAATTTATTTCTAAATTAAATATAAGGCTTTTAAATATACCAATTTGAGCAAAATATTAATTAAATCTCATTGTGATTTATTCTCAGCTTGTTTTCCTTCCTTTTCTCTTGCCAGTTTTCAAAGCCTAGTGAGAAGTGTGCTGATTATCCTGACATGGCTAAAGAAGCAGGTAATTTAGTAATAAAGCATTTTGTTTGATTCCTGATGCTTATTTTTTAGATCTTACAGCCAATATTTTTATTACGCATATGAAGGAAAAGCTGCTGTTTAATAAATAGATACATCTGAAAAGCAGATTTAAAACTCAGACCACTTTCAGCAAATCCATAACTGACCTGTCCAGGTCAGCCCTTCCAGGCTGAAGTCAGCAGGATGGCTTAAAATTGAATTGTGCACTTAAATAATTGAATACTTACCTATATTATTGAAAACCTACTCTCATTGGGATGAACGACCTTAGTGCTTGAGCACAGAATTGATTGAATGAAATTTTCTGAAAAAGAAGCTTGATCAGAACTCAAAATACTGTGAAATTGTCCTTATGAGTATGAAATTGTCCTTATGAGGTACAAGACTATATTAACAGTTTGCACATGATAGTGAGGAATTTCTACAACTCTCATTTGTGAATGCAGGACTCATACATACTACTCTAGGTTTGCTTGTTGTGGTTGTGAGAGCTGGTTTTTTTTTAGTTTCACCTTCAATTTTAAACTGTTTTTCCAACTTTTAAACTGTGTTTTTTAGGCCAGGCAGCTTTAGCTGATGCTGGGATTCCTTATTCAGCAGTGAAGCAGGCATGTGTGGGTTATGTTTATGGTGAGTATTGTTTGATTGGGATGTGACTTCTGTGACAATTGCAAACTTCTGTGTGGATAAAGTATGAGGAATGGCACCAACAAGCTCTCTATTAAGGGGAAATCTATTTCTGTTCCAAAAAGATTCTTCCATTTACTTTCCTTCCAGTTCTCCATTAACAGCTGTGTTGTGGCCACTGAAGTAGGGTCAGTCTGCTGTGATACCTCGAGCAGCTCCCAAGCCACACCTCCACGGCCCTTCTTTCCAGTCCAGTTATGTCCCTTTGATTCACAGACTGTGAAGCAGAAGCAGGACAAACTTCTTTAAAATCTCAGGAGTTTCATCTTGTTTCTGAGGTTCTTTACTGTGGATACCTGAGAGCCATACTCAGGGTGACAGCTCAGAAGTTCAAGCTTACAGTTTAGTTAGTAGCACTGCACATACCTGGCAGCAAACTTATGTGAGTTTGTACCTTATTTTAATGTTGTGTTTCTATTTGAAGGTGACTCAACCTCTGGGCAGAGGGCAATCTACCACGGTCTGGGTCTAACTGGCATTCCCATCATCAATGTTAACAACAACTGTGCCACTGGATCCACTGCTTTGTTCATGGCCAGACAGCTTGTAGAAGGAGGTGGGTTCTTTTGCTCTGTGCACCTAAGAGATTGTCTGGCATGCAGTAGGATGGTGTTTGTGGAAGTACATATCTTCTCCTGTGTCGTGAGCTGTATGAAGCTAGTCAGTTCTGCCAGTTAAGTGTTTCTGCAATAATTGGGCAAGTGCCATTATAGTACTGCAGGCACTAGATTCTCCAGGATGAAAAGAAGAATCTGCTAAAAGCTTAGCTTTTGTCTTTTAGCTTTATACAAGTGTTTAACTACTGTATATTAAACAAGTGTTTAGCATACAAGTGTTTAATTAAGATGTTTTTGGAAGGGAGGGGAGAGAGCAGACTGGCAGACCATGCTTTGAACTGTCAGATTAGTATTTCCTCCTATTTTTGCAGCTCGTTTGTGGACTTTGATACTTTCTTGCACTGATGCTGATGTTTCTGCAAT